CAGAGAAACTTTACTCTACTGGGACCCGCCAAATCAAATAGGGGGTCCAGAATATCCTGAGGCTTCCTTTGATACACTAATTCTTGCCCATTTGGTTGTTGTACTAGTTTTGCCTTTTGCGAGGGTGAAGCCATGCTAATCGTACAAAACGAGCGGAAACCATGAGATCGAGCAATTCTTGTGTTGAATGCATTGAATGAGTGAACTCTGCTATGTCCACTGGCTCATCAGCCATGTTGAAACTCAGAATGATCAGCTAATGCAGAGGCTACTTTAGCTGGTAATCACCCCAAAACCCTTAACCCTCAGCCCTAGGCTGTGCCAAGACCGTGCAGCTCTCACTCTGAGGCTTTTTAATATTATACTTCAACACCTTGAGCCTACAGATTGCAGATCCCAAGCCACTATAGGATCCTTGATGAATACCCTGGGCCCTATCTCCCGGGGCCAAGAATTTCCGCGGATGGGGAGAGATGGTCGTTGGTGCTGAAGGCACCGCCAGCATCATGAGCACATAATGCAGCTTTGCCATCATAGGTGGTGTTTCCGCTGTTAACCTTGGCTGCCAGGCGTTGCTTATAGTTCGATCTTCCTATGTGGACAAGGCAAGAATGCTACAGTAGAAATGCCTCATTAAGATTAAGACATATGCATGGATCGGCCAGGAAATTTCGAGTGGACTTCATCTTCCTCGTGGCCTTCCTGAGCCTGCTTTGGAGGCACACTGCTCCCTCTAGTCCCCCTTAAGTAGAGGGAATCAAATAAACTTAAGGGCCCCATCTACCCCATATTGTATCTACATAAGGAGGACTAGAAGCTGTTGGGTCTGGAGTTCTTTGTTCCATTTCATATGAGCACGCATGCTCACAAGTGCATTTCTTTGCTGTCCTACATGATCCTCAAGCGGCATTCATGATTGATCTTGATTGTTGGGGAAATCATCGGAACTGCCAACGGCGCACTGTTAGTTGCTAAAGGCTAGATGTCTTGCCTGAGCGGTGAGCAAGCCATGGACCATGACTACACAAACGAGCAGCTTGCATCATCTACTGATTTGGCCCGTGCTTGGGACAACAGTGCGACAGTTCGTCGCCGAGCAGCTGTGTATGGAATGGCCATGTGGTTGCAATATGCTCGCTCGAGTTTAGGTGTCTGAATTTGGCCTAGTGCTAGCTGTCACCTGCGAATCATGAGGTTCAGTATCCCAAAAGTGGGCAAGTTGATCGCGAAGCCCTGGACATGAATGAGGATGCCATTCTAGGCATCATCAAGCACCTAGGAACGAGAGTGGGCGTGGAGACCTTGGAGGTTCACCTGCATGCCTTTTATGAGTTGATGCAGAAGCCGCTCTCCAGTATCCTGCCCAAACAAGTATGTATCATCGCAGTCAGCCAAGCTTCACCATGGGAATGGAGTTTAAGCAGGGCCAGGTTGGATTAAAATACTGCTAGTGGAAGGAATCGTGCACCGCCCTAAGTCCCTCATATCCCAGCTATAAAGTAGTATATATAATAGATTAGGGGCAATACGGGTGATGATGCAAGCTTTCCCCCATCAGCAGCATTTTCAGAAGGGCCAGGTTTGCATACGACATAATTAATAATTATAGCTATATCTATGGGGTACCTTTCTTTGATTGTTTGTGCCCTCATTTTGTTGAGAAAGCTTAGAATTCTAAGATGGGAAAGGGGCATAGCATGACTCAGGTACCCAAGCTTCGAGTACAGCCTGGGGCTTAAAGAGGTTGATCTCGTGCTTTAACCGGGTCACAGCTCGGCCTCACCGACCCAGATCATCTGTAATCCGGCGCTTGATGATTGCTGCAGGGATTCCAGTGCCAGCGGCGCAGCCACGGGATCCTCAAGTTTTGGACGATGTTGAGTGTGAGGAAGGGGAGGAGGAAGAAATGGAGAATGATGATGTCATTATTGATCCTGCTCTGGAAGGAGGTAGTGGGGACCCACCTGTACCCATGCCAGATTCGGAGCCTATCATGGATTCTGAAAACGCAAAGAAAAAGAACCCCGAGCCCCTTCTAGCAAGCTGCGCAGAATGGAGCATGTAAAGGGTTCCAGTGCTTCAGGAAGTGAGGCAAGCACAGCAGCTTCCAGTGTGCCTCTTGCAGACAAGCGCCCTGAAAGCCTCCTTCCTGTTCCCTCACCCAAGCCCACAGATGGGAAATCTGCCGATCCAAACTCCGGCGGGGACTCAAAGCCTGTTGATCCCAAGTCTGAGCCCATTTGCAAGGAGCCGAAGCCTGATGAGGCCAAATCCGCTAGCCCACAGCTTACTGGGCCCAGCTTCCAGGCTGAGATGCCTACTGAGGCCAAGGCTAAAGTTACTGGGCCCAGCTTCGAGGCTGAGATGCCTACTGAGGCTATGGCTAAGGTTACTGGGCCCAGCTTCGAGGCTGAGATGCCTACTGAGGCTATGGCTAAGGTTGCTGAGCTCGATTTGCAGTCACCAGTGGGTGACCCCAAGCCACACAAGCCTAGCTTTGTGAAGAAGTCGCCCCAGTCGCTACCCCCAAGGTTTGATGCTGCAGGCACATGTCATAACCCCTAAACACTGTAAACCCTAAACCTTAATTAAACCATGGCTCATAAACCTTCAACCCTAAACTATAAACTGCGTGGGGCCAGTTGAGTATAGCCCTGCTAGGTGGAGAAGTTCGTGACTCGTCCCCTGCCCCATCAGTGGCAAGCTCAAGTTCATCTCTACGCCTAAGTACCCCATTTGCAAAAGGATGATTCCTGCACATTGGCTTTCAATTATCGGTCCATGATACAATGAACACTACCGTTACTGCCCTAGGTGCACTGCGCGAGCCGATACCGATGCATGTGGTTGTGGCTTTGCCGGATAGCCTCTTCGAGTGCAAGGCTTGCGGTACTGCTGGTGACCTGGACACACTGATGAACCTACCCTGCACGCCCACTACCCAGCTGGGCAAGATGCGAGAACTTGAGCCTAGATTGTATGATTGAGATCATAGCTGCCCAGAATCAGCACATGTACAACTGATGATTGAGTTTGAGTAGGTAACCTGATCTTCTGGGCCCATACTTGCCAAGGAGAGGCTCCAGAAGATTCAACGACAATTGGAGGAGCAGAAAGCCCAACGCCTCTACGAGAAGCGCCTCAAGACTAACGGTTCCCAGGTTGCAATGTATTTAATCGCTAGGACTCATCCTTGATGCCTTTACCTCACCAGTGTTTAAACTTACACCTCCCTGAATCTCCCAAGCCCTAGAACCCTACAACTGGAACTTTAGCCTCAACCACCCCTGCCACCATCCATCCGAGGTCCTGATGAAGCAGAGACGCAGCCGTGGCCGCATGATACTCAGCCTGAGTGGAATGACAAAGTTGCTCGCCAGTTGAGCTTTACATCCGGTCATGATGTTGCTGGGCAAGCTACAAGTAAGAAGCAGCCTATCGAAGTTGCTGAGCCTAGGGAGGGTGAGCAAGGAGCTGTTCCTAGCCCGAGCGAGGAAGGGACGACCCATAATGATGTGAGCAGGCGCCCTCGCAAACTCAGAAAGCTCCGCAAGAACAAGAACCCATCGCAAGCATCAAAGCACGAGCATAAGGAAATGGAGGCGGAGAAGACAACAGAGGTTGCTCAGGAGACAAGCGAGAAAGAGGGAACAGAGAAGGCTAGCAAGGCAACAAGGCAGGATCATGAGGCAACAAATGAGGGTGATGAGGCGACCATGAAGAATGACAAGGCAACAAAGGAGGAGCGTGAGGCGATCCGAAAGGATGACAAGGCAACAAGCAAGGATAACAATGCGGCAAAGGAGACAAGGCTCCCAGCCAAGCCTGCAGCCATGCGAAACATGAAGCCGGCCCTAGACCCTGTGGCCCAGGCAGCAGGCGCACAGGATGTAGAGGAGGAGGAAAGTGAAAATGATGATGAGCAGGAGCCTGGGGAAGAAATGCTGCAGGAAGATGGGGAGGAAGAGCCAATGGCAAGTGATCAAGAGGAGGAGGAGGCAAGCGAGGAAAAGGAACCGGCGGTTGCGAAGAAGCCATCGGCCAGGGGGGTGCGTGCAAAGTCGAAGGCGAAGGCAAAAGCAAAATCGAAGGCAAAGGCCACAGCAAAGAATGGGGGTGGCAGGGGCAGGGGCGCAAAGCCACGTGGCAGGGGCAGGGGCTCAACGAGCCAAACAGGCAAGGCGCGACAGGCAGCCACAAATGAGGATGAGGAGCGCAAGCTTCGCAACTCAAGGAAATCCTCGGCATATCATATGGCTAAGAAGGAAGCTTTGTCCTCGGGGATGACTGTGGAAGAGGCATCGGAGATTGCTAAGGAGGCTACTTGGTCCCTGTGGTACATGCATTTATGCGTGATGCTAGCTGTAATGCATGCGTGTAGCGCAATGAGCAGTTGATCCCTTCTGGCCTGCGGCAACTCAGGCATACCGAACAACGAACTGATGATCACAGCGTATTGCCGCGAGTTTTGGGGTTTTCCTATGTGCAGTATCATGAGAAGCAGGAGACTCTGGTTGCTGAATTTTGGCGGGCATGGATCCTGCTGGAATGTGGTGTGCGTTACTGTACATGTACCTGCAGGTACGATTTTAACCTAGCGATCATTTTCGATGCTGTCTCGATGAAGATTCGAGATCATGCTACATGCAGTTTCCTCTGAACTCTGAAGTGCACGGGTTAGACGCATTGATGAAAAAAGGTAACTCACACCTTGCATCTTGCTGATGCTCAGCCTCTGTCCTATCAGTGTACTGTTAGAATCAAGCTTGCTTCAAAGCTGGGTGCGCAGGCCACTTGGCTTCGTGAGAATGCCAAAGACGGAGCGGTGGGCCTGCCGGGCATTGTCAAAAGGCACAGCTGGCATGGTTGTATGAAGGGTTTGGATGCTGCCCTCTTCTGAAGGCTCCTTGCTATGATTCCATGTCCATGTGTGGCTCAAGTTGAACGAGGGCATTGAGCTTTGGACTTTCATTCCCAAGCCCTTGTCTTTCCATGTCATCATGCCTGTCCCTAGATGGGAGTCCCTGGTAGCGAACCTGTACCAACTGCAAAGCCCAAAGGCGCGATCAAAAGACTTGGGTATAGATTTCTTCACAACATGGAGGGGGTGGTGGGTGGCAGTGCGCTAGTGTGTGCTCCCTGTAGGTGCTTATTGGATGTGCCCTGCAGCTGCATTTCAATTGCAATTTCGCATTGATCATGCTGTATCGTCGACCCCTAAAGCATTTTTGCCTGCCTCGATCTCGATGCAGGTTTTGCTCTTGATGTGGACGCAGAACATTGACCTTCGGATGCAGGTGCAGGCCATGGAGTTATTCTCTGGGGAGGCAAGGGTGTCTCAAGCCCTAAGGGGTGCTGGAGTGCACTGCGTTTCCTATGACCTGTTGTATGATGCCTCGGGGAAATCTATGAACTTCCTATCACCTGGTGGCTTTGCGTTTCTAGCTTGCGTCAAGCCTTTGTTCCACCAGTTTGCATGCGTCACATTATTCATGATTGTACACATGTGGAAGCCAAGGTTAGTGTTGGCTATAGTGATGAGAGAATCCCCTGATTCCCTGAATGTCCTAGCGCCAGCTTGTGGGAGCTGGTGCCTGGTTAGCCGGGGTACCTCACTGCGGTCTGCTATGAATCCGTTGGGCCGGGCCTCTTGCGATTTTGTAAAGGAGGGCAACGCTACCATATCAAGGTGGATCAGCGACTACTGCATTGTGAGTTGTTAACAATTAACCTGACCTCCTCATAATGACCCGAACTAGGAAATCCCATCCCAGGTTGGTACTCATTTTACTCGTCATCCTGGCGGTCCATGGAATTTTTGTGCTGGAGCAGCCACGAGGAAGCGAGCAAGTCCTACCCCATCACCCGAGATTCAACTGGTTCTGCAATCGGATATGCTATGTACCTGGCCGCATAGTCCTACTCATATGACCCTGAACCCTTCATGCAATTGCCTTGCCCTGGTGTTTCCGACCAGCCTTCCTGGGATGAATGCAAGTGATATGGCTGTCCTGCATATAATACAGGGCTTGCGATTGGGCTCAGGATTCAAGGATGCTTTTGGGCTATTTCCGGCTCAGTTAGGAATTTGGGGCCTCTGGTTCAGCGGGATGGTCCTGCTTGCAGGGTCAGGGGGACTTAGTATGCGTATAGCTCCCCTATAGCCCATTTAGTAACCCCAGTTTAACTTATATAGCCTATAACAGTCCCCCTGACTCTCCAAATGATTTGAATTCTTAAGATTGCACTCTTAAATCCAGCAACCCATGGGTATCTCGAGGTTCAAGGGAAATTTCTTTCAGCCAAAATCTCAGTCGTGCAAACTTTCATTCTCAGCCTGGAAAAGGGAGTTTGCTAGGCTAAAATCCGGGTGGGGCAACCCCCCATCCTCAGGCTTTAAAAGGGGGGTTTGCTGGGGCGAGATTTTGAATAGAGCCAGCTTCTTGATTGTCATGGGAGGTGTGGGAGGGCCCTGGATCAGATCATCTAAGGTCTACAAGGCCTTCTATTTGCAACGATATGGCGCTCCTTCACCCAAGCCAACATGTTTGTGGTTGAATTCTACAATCATGGCTTCTGGCTTTGCTTGTGACCCAGCATCCTTCAGGGTGTAAGCTTGCTTGCATGTGACACTAGCAATACCAGTTCTAAGCCTTTCGTGATCAGGAAGAAAGCTCGCCACTCACACATGAAGAGAGGAGGGCTCGCACCACTGTGAAGACATCTCGATTGGCACTTGGATACCCTTCCAATAGCAGGAATACATGGGGCGAGGATCCATATGTTCATTTTGGGCCCATTGTTAGACAACCTTACAGGAAGAGTATATGTGCATGTGTAACAATATACATATGTATATATACTATATAGATGTGTTCTATAGATCTTGTGCCCCCTGGGTTCCTTCTCGTGTAGAATGTTAATGGTACCATCCTTTCTTAATGCATAAATCGACTGCAATGAGGTCAGTACATCAACTCTCAGGGTGTGAAAAGATTCGTTGGTGACAAGAAGGGGCTCAAAGAAAGTGGGCAGGGCGCCTACTGTACATGTGTCGTCAGACATGCTTAGCTTCGATCTACATACTCCTTATAGGCCATAGTGGCTACAACAAATGTCCCTCTTAGCGCAGTCCCCATATAGAGGATATAGTCCAATATCGATGCAATATGCTATTTCATTACGAACCCTGCCTGTTTGTCATCTCAATTGTTCCCCAAAGAGAACTAAAAGTGAACTTACCCAGGGTCTACACGAAACAGTTCGGTGAGAAGCTCCTGGAGCTTTGGCGTGAGGAGCAAGCATCGGCGACTCCTCGGCTGCCAATGCGTCAGAAGCTTCATTTGTCTGGGCAGGAGAGTGACCGGGAAATATTTGATAGCATGCAGTTGGGTGACCCTTGGGGGGATGCTGAGATGGTTGAAGTGTGGTGCTACTTGTACAAGAATAAACACTTGCTGGTTCCTTCGTCCTGGCAGAGTACGATGGCTGCTTTTCATGAAGAGCTTCGGGCTAGTGTTCCCAGGTTGCAACATAATGAATTAAGGCAATATGACTCTTTTGGTATTACTTCCCTTGCCCATTGCCTTAGTGCCCCACTCTATACACTTGAAGCCACTGGACCCATAGGCTCTAGGGGCTCTAGGAGAAGGGGGGCTGCAGAAAGGATACGCTTCACCACCTAGCTTAGCGGCCTGAATTTTCACATTCCTTTGTCTTCTCAGGTGCTTGCTGACCATCCTCTCAGAGAGGACCTAGTGGCAGCAGCCTCTGGAAACTGACTCCAGAGGGTTGGTTCCTGCTGAATTCAGCTGAATCAATGATTTTGCTGAATCGCAGAATGCTCGAGCAATTGTACGCGCAAAACGAGCGCAAAAGCCCGCCAAACGAGCGCAAAACCCAGTCAACGCGCGCAAACCGGGATTCTTGAACAATTGCTCGTTTCGCTACTTGCTGTTTTCCATAGTCTACCTGCTGGTTGCCTCAACTTGATTATTCTGGAATTCTGCCCAGCCAAGCTTCTTGCAGGCCGTTATGGTAGAACGCCGGGATACCTGTCAATCCCTTGATCGTGGCCTAGCCATGGTGGCCAGTCAGTACAAGCCTTCTGCTACATTTGAGCTCGATGAGCAGATTGCCGATTCTAGCCAAACCCATAATTGGAACTCATGCATGATTCCCCACGCGTTGCCCTACCCTAGCTATTCCCCAACACAACCTATGCGATAAGGAAGCGAGTCGACGTATCTTCCGGCTTCAACAAGATTTGGCTGCATATGATGGTGCAGAACCCCAAGGACTGTGCATGTAAGATGCAGTATCCCCAGTTAAACCTTTGGGGCAGTGTAGGGATTAGGGTTTGGGGGTGAGCAGGACGAGCTTGCTTGCCTTAGCAGGACTTGGCCTTGGAAGTGTGAATGAAGCAATTGTCAATGGAGCCTTCCTACCTGGCATGTCCCACCATGGGAGTGCAACTTCGGCGCGCAATCCTGAAGGCCTTGCCCTTGCCTCTCCAAGGAACCCTGTCCCTGAATGCCCCCCCTGCAGTGCCACAGAAATCCTGTCACCCATTTCCAAGAAGCCTCGTGTAACTGGACCTGCCCCGGCATCACCTGCTGCCTCTACATCCTCTTCGAAAACAATGTGTGAAGATGGAACTTACTGGAAGCCACTGGTCATTAATTGAGCACATGTATTACATATTGCATGAACTTCCCAAACGCTGCCCAGGTTGAACCGGTACTTCAAGCCCAACAAAAAGGGACAGCTGAAGTGCTCCGAGGCGGCGATGTCAATGTTCAAGGACCCCAAAGGCCGAACGTTAGCAGCAGCTTGTACGATCTAAGGTGGTTGAACAGGGTTTTGGTAGCCAACCAACTTAGGTGAGAAACTTCGGGAGATGCTGCTGAAGCATGGGACATTTGATCAGGTTGAGGTTGAGCTGACCAAGACCTCTATGCAAATGGCAATCAATGATGAGGAGGGTGCATGGGAGAATGATGTATCCTTGGCGAAAGAGGGTTGGACCGAGCAGCCCACTTGCAATTTACTCGGCCCCTTATATGATCCAGAAACATGAGTCCTGTGCATGCATGTTAGGTTTATGATCCAGAATGCCCGGCGCTGGGCAACTGCACGAGGCCTCATTCGAACGAACCCAGTTCATGGTTTAGAGGAATACAAGATCCCGAAGAAGGAGAAGTACTTGTTTCGGAATCAAAATTCCCAGAGCTCGACTCAGAAGACCTCGTTTCTGGTGCAGGCAGGAAAGTTCTACTTTGCATTGCATACCTATAGGTTCAATTATAATGCATATATATATATAGTGCATATAATATTAATTATGGGTTGATGGGTTGATAGCATACAGTATCTCAAATCATCTGTTCCCAATGCATAATGCAGTAAGTTATAAGCCTGCGCAAAACATTCCAATCCTGTAGATGCCAACTGGCGTTTAATTCAAAGAATTCATTTCATACACCCCCCCTAACCCTAGACCCTAAACTCTAGACCCTAAACCCTAGACCCTAGACCTGCGTGTACCCTAAACCTTATAGACTATATATGTACCGTAACCCTAATCCAATTCATGAGGATGAGAGTGGTACCCTCTTGGGCGATTCTGTCACCGGACAGCTGGCCCTGCAGAATCTTGGGGCATTACTCGATCTATAAGTTGGGTGAAGTCCTTCCACGCAAGTCTAACCCCTAAGCATGCACACTATCTCCCAAAATCTAAGGACAAGTGCGGGAAATCAAAACGAGGTTGATCATGCTCGTGTCGCCTGTGCTACAACGGCTAGTTCGGCCAAGGAGAAGTGCTTGCCAGTACTTCAGGCAAATCAAGATGTGTTCAGCTGCTTGCTTCCATTCGCATAATCAATGAGTTTAGAGGGGTTGGGCAAACATCAATCAAAAAATGAAGCTACAAGGTGTGCTGGCCACATACATTGATTTGGTCGGCAAGAAAGTGGACAAAGCAACTGACCTCCAGGAGCTTACTGCCATTTTTGTTTGTGGGATGATTACATAGGGTCACCATGGGGTTGCAATTTGACAGGACGACTTGATCAAGAGTGGCAAGCCCCGGGCGAAGCAGCAGCTTGCATGCAGAACTTGACCATTGATCAATTGCAGCTACTATTTATAAAAAAAATGAATATTTGGGTTGGGGCTGCTAATCCTGCGTCCAAGGATTGGCCAGGAGATGATTCCCAAAACTCTCGAGCTTGAGGGCCACTACAAAGAACTTCTGAAATTTCAGACAGATGCTGTATTGGATGCCGGCACTCCACCGTCCAGGAGATGCATCATGTCTCATACACTACATGTTGCGATGCAAGACTGTCACATACTGTGCTGAAGGATGGTCAAGGAGAAATTGCTGAAGTGCTATGCCAGCTGCACTCGGATGGATCTGGCATTGAATGCTTTGATGATTCGGGGCAGGACAATGCCCACATGTTACATGATCGATTGCTGAGTTCTGCTGTTAGCTAAACTGAATATTGTAAGCCCCGATTCCTGCTAGGACCCAGGTCAAGGCGAGCCCGAAATCCAAAGCGTCTGGGTCGAAGGCTGTGGCTAGCACCAAGAAGAAGGCTGCAGCGAAGCCGGCGAAGCCAGCTGCCTCCAAAAAGAAGCGGCAGTAATTCCACAGGGGTGATTGAAAGTCACTCACGGGTTTTCAGCCATCTGTGGTAGTGTCCTGAATGGATTTCTGCCAGTCAACAAGTAGCGTCCTAGCAGCTAATTACACAATCCTGTCAAGGACCTGACCATATGATGGAAGCTGATTGCATCAAGTGCACTTTAACACACCCGTACAAAGGACGTGTGTGTGTGTGTGCAAACAACATGCTCCAGTGCCGGGTTCTGACAGCGGGGAGCCAAAATCACGCGTTACAAGTTTGATTGGCTTACTTTGATTGTAGAATTTGCAAGGGGGTTCCAAGAGCAAGATGTAAATCTACTGGGCCAGGCAATCTTTCTTCGATTGGCAGCCGGGATGTGCAGCGCTTGGCGGGATGTAACTTGCCTGCTGTTTAGGGTTTAGGGCCTAGGGTTTGTCCTAGGCTCACAACAGGAAATTGCTATGCTCAGAAACCACCATTCTTGCTGCATGGATCCATGGGTCCTAAACCTTGAGCCCTATACCTGTTACCTCTAAACTCGAAACCTTGGCTACACCCCTTGACCGGCTACACCCTCCAAACCTGGGCTCTACACCCTCCAAATCTGGTCTACACCCCTTAACCCATTGAAGCACTTGTTAATGCTCAGAGCTCGCCATTCTTCCTGGACCCATCGGTCCTAACCTTAAAACCTGCACCCCCTAACCCTAAACCCCAACCCTGGGCTACACCCCTTAACTCTATAAACCTGGACCCTAAACTCCAAACCTGGCTTCTCCTCAACCCTAGTCTTGAAACCTGGGCTTTAGCTCCTGGGATTTTGGCAGTTGCTGCTCCTTGTTTTTTGCCTGTTACAAGCACTGCTGCCAGCACCACCACCATCACCACCACCACCACCACCGCTGCCACCACCGCCACCACCACCAACACCACCGCACCACCGCCGCCGCCACCACCACCACCACCACCACCACCACCACCACCAGCACCACCAACACCACCAGCAGCACCAGCACCAGCACAACCACCGCCACCACCACATCCGCAATCCCACTGAATTTAAACAATGATGCCTTGCACCCATTCCATAGTTGATATTTGGTCCCTGCATTTGACCCCAACAACCTCATATGATTGTTACCCTTGCCGCCTGTTGTTTCCTAAGCCCTATAGTTACCCCTTCACCTAGCAAGCCACCTGGAGTTCCTGGAATTCAAAAATGGATCTGAAATTTAAATAAGTATGTATATATCGGCACTGGAAGTGGTTGTAGTTGTAGTAGTTGGCAATGGTAGTAGTAGTAGTAGTAGTAATAATAGTAATAGTAATAGTAGTAGTAGTAGTAGTAGCAGCAGTAGTAGTAGTAGTAGTACGTAGTACTATGATATGATGATGTAGTACGTTGTCGTTGTTGGCATTGTCATCGCGTCTAGTATAATAACATAGCAGCAGCAGTGGCAGTAGCAGTTGTGCGATGGTGCAGTAGTGGGTTTGCATGTGTATGAGGGTACCATATGTTTGTTGTACAAAGGGCCATGTAGGTGTAACTATAGGGGCTGACGATATGGTTCTAGAATCCTAGGACTATGGGTGGCGTTCAGTAGGGCTGCCATGCAGCATGCACATTCTAGTCATGTAGCATCCCTACCCTAAACCCTACACCTTGGCCTATTCTAAACCCTATATACTAAACTGGGGTATTGGTCAGGAAGCCTCTCAATGCCTGCCTCCCAGGTGACCGCTCTCAGCAAGACGAAGCAGATCACGACCTTGATTTGGAGATTTCGGCGGAGATTTTATCCAAATACTTCAATGGGGTTTCGGAGCTGCATTGGATGAATCCTAACACCCTTAAGACTCACAGGTTGTAGCTGTCCCCTAATACTGGCCTATAAATGTAATTTGTCCTATATGGTCTGGCCCAAGCAGCCACTACAGGATGCAGTGGGTGTTCAACGTTTTAGGGCCTGTAGAGGAGCTAGTGTATATTGCATAGGATAGGATTCTTGCAAGCTAAGGGAGAATCTGCGAAAGGGGCTTCACACATGGCCAACCTGGTTTGCAAAATTGGGGGTGATGGGCGCCACTTAGCTCTTATGGTAGGTTTTCAGTTTGGGAGTTTGGAATGGACCCAGCGGGGGAAGCCTTAAGCCTTAGACCTATACGGGCATCTCAGGAGATCTGGACATGCTTTACAAAATCGCTTCTGCTGGCCGATGCCCAACTAATGTGTGCAGAAACTTACATCGTTTGATTCACCGAGAAGGTCTCACTGTCCCAGTAAAGATTGACATGGTACAAGTTCCTATCCGGAAAAGGCGTCCCACTGTGAGAAAGCTTATGGTCTGGTATCCCGTTATCTATCCGAGTACCTGGATGTCTTTCTTGATGAAGGAACACAGTGACTTGTTGTTGGGTGGCATACCCTTGGAAAAGATATCGAAGTGGGAGGCTCTGCTTGATGGCTTCTGGGCTAAGTATAAAGCCTACGATGCTGGGCATGTGATGAATGGCGCGACAGCTCCCCCCACCAATCGAACTATACCTATCTTTCTGCATGGCGACGAGGGTCGAGGTAAATACAAGTTGCCGATTATGGTTGAGGCTTTTCAAGCGTGTATAAGCCACAAGGGTGCAGCCTACAAAAACAGCTGTGGGCCCTTTCCTGCAGCATTCAGCATTTAGGGCTTGAGGTTTTGTATGGGAAAAGATTACTAGGGCTTTAAGGGTAGTCTAGGGTTTGGGGCTTTAGGGTATGTAGGGTTTAGGGCTTTAGGGTACTTTAAGGTTGGGGCCTTAGGTTCTTAAGGTTTTAGGGCCTTAGGGTCTCTAAGGTTTAGGGTTTTAGGGTATATGTTAGGGTAATTTATGTAGTCAAGAATCGGTTGAGTTACAATGCCGAAAGCAGCTCCGAGGCATACCTACTGTACTCGGTTTCTCTTTGCAGTTCTCCCTGCTGAACTTTACTGGGGCGATGCAACCTTGACTCAATTGAATGCAGCCCTGGCAAATGACCTTGTCAACCTCTATACGAATGGAATCGAAGTTCCGAGGCTGCAGCGATATGGACCATGTTGTTCGCACTTGTGACCTGAAGCAATTCTAATCTAAGGTTGTGGTTGGCGATGAAACTGTGAGATTCCACTTGGCCATGCTTGGGGTTAAGGGTGACTGGGTCTATTTGCGGAAGGCGGGGATGAAGTGGCCGCATGCATGCTATGCATGATGCAATATTTCAACATCTCTGTTCTCATAGGCTATGGCCCTGGCTACCGGATGGCAGTGCAACCGAAAATGCCATCTATGTTCCAGTGAGGATGCTTGCCATGATGAGTTCCCAGGGCAAACTTCAGTGCATGCAAAGTGTGACGATGCTAATTGAGGAATGGTTTAACTTTTCCGAAACAGCTGCTTGGCGATTCGATGAGGGCCCGACCCCGTTCAAACAGCAAAGATCTCCACTCTGCCGAGTGCCTGGGCTTGAGCGTGCCACAAGCGCTTTGGTTGATCCAGCGCATACTTGGCACATTGGGCTTCTAAGTTGCATTCTGAATTTTTTATTCGGTGTGGGACCTGCAAACCTCAAGACTATAATCTATAGAGTATTGGGCCCTCAACCCTATAGAACCCATAGTTAATCAAGGTGTGGCCGGGATTTCGTCACTTCTGGTCTTGTCCTACTGTGCCTGCTGAAGTTGGTGCCGGGTAGAGCCCTTCCATCCCAATTGGCCTTTGCATATTCCGACTTTGTTCAGTGGTGCTCACGATGCCACAAATCTACGAACATCAGAGGCTTCACAAAGTCTGGCTTCAAGATGGGGACGATTCTAAATGCAATGGATTGGTTTGTGAAGTTCTTGGTGGGGGCCCCTTATAGTTTTAGATCACAATCCCTGCCCTAAGGAAAAAGACTGACTTCCCGACTGCCACTGGGGGTCGGGGAGCAGACACTGCGTTGATGACATCTTGGCTTGAAGATCTTCTTCTACGTATCGATCCTTGTTAATACGTACTATGTACTGTTTGATGCTGGCTTTTCTGAAACACTCAAAGCTGAAGCACATAAAGGGTCCTGTTTGCGTGTCTTTCTAGGAATGTGATGACGAAATTTTTCACATGCTGAAGTACACGGTGCAGTTTGCCAACATTTACTTTCGCATGCTTCACCATGCTGGTCTTTGGTTGGATGCAGCCACTGCTTTACAGGCGGCTCATGCATGTCAGGAGATGTGTGAGATTTGGCTCAATTTATTGTTTTGAGGCATCCCTGTAAGGTGCCTGGAGGAGCTTTAGTCTAAATTAGCTGGTATCCCCCTGACTAATGCCTAAAGTATAGCCATGTACTTCGCTGTATCCCCCTTTAAGGAGTTTAGACAATTAATAGCCCAAATGACCCCACATTGGCGCTAAGGAAGGCTACATATGCCTAGCGAAATCTTGCGTGGCCAGAGGGTATCGACTCTTCAAAGTGCGCCCCAAAGTGCACATGCACAAACACTTTGGGCTGCTTGGATGTTAGATGGCCATTGTTTTTTTGAATGAGATGGATCTCGATAAAAAGGGGTCTCACACTACTTCAGGTTGACGCTACTTGAGGGTGCTCAGCGAGGCCTTCATTGCCTGAATCCCATGAGTTCCTTGGCAGAATTCCTAAAGATGTGCCTCCTA